CCTAAGATGTTTGATATTCAGACAGGTAGTTAGGTTAAGCTTAACAACCTAAGTTGTATGGTAATAACAATAAGTTTGTCTTCCTTAGGGTTAACAAGTTAAGTCTGCAAACCAAAATTAGAGAAAAAGGAGGGCCACAAGAAAAGCCAACATTTTGGCCCTAGCCTTCCAAGGTCAATTAAGACTCAGAACATATGAGAACTTGCACTGTAACATCATGAAACTCAGTAGTGTCCCAAATTTTCTGATCAAGGAGATTACAGGGCCAAAGAGGAAAGTGATCGATGATGTAGAATGTGCCTAAAGAGAGTCACATGGAAAGAAAACATTCTCTCAGGCTTTCACAGAGAGCACATTAACCAAACAATGACCGTGACTTATCCACATGGCTGACACTGGCAAAAGATGTACAATCTGAGGTACAGGATCTCAGAATAAATCCTAAGGGGATTTCACTGAGCTTATCAGATCCAAAATGTACAACTCTTGTTGCATATGTCCTGCTTTTCCTTGGTCTTAACCATCCAGCAGAAAAGTATAAAAACGAAGTACAAGAAGTAAAGCCATGCTATGTTGAGCTGTAGGGGACTCAGGTCAACAGTTTCAGACATTGCCAGTGAAGCAGAAGAACCAGTACTATTATGGACTACTAGACTCTTTTAGAATATTTTGTTGAGTTAACACACCTATAACATTCAAATAACGGAACTTAACAAAAAAAAGGAGATACAGGTGAATGTCCATTTTGTATCTGTGTATTCAAAATGGTTAGGATAGATATATAGGTACATTCTCTTAATGAATAGAAGGATTTGCTCTAATAGTGTTTGTAAATTGGATATCATGTCCACATCTTATATAGCAATTAACCACTAGGAAGAATGTATGCAATGTGTTAATTACTGAAACTGTCCTACCAATTTGGTTTGAAACTGTCTCATTGCTATTTGTTTCCCAATAAAATTATGGGATAAAATAATTAAACATATATGCAGCCAATGTAGGAGCACGCACCTACATAATACCAATTTTAACAAACATGAAAAATCAAATAGATAATCATACAATCAAATGGGGGACTCTAATATGTCACTGTCACAACAAGATACATCAACTAGGCAAAAAAACCATCAAATAAATAGCAAAACTAAACCAAATTTGTGAAGAAGTTGACTTGATAGACCTTTACAGAGTGTTTCACTCAGCAACAACAGAATACACATTCTTTGCAGCTGCACATGGGACATTCTGCAAAATAGACCACATACTAGAACACAGACCACTCTTACTTAAGTAAATAAAAAGGAATTGAAACTATCCATGCATACTTTCTGACCACAGTGCAATGAAGCTCTAAATTATTGATGATAGAAACCACATAAACAGCATAATCACATGGTAATTAAATAACCTTCCAAGTGACCAGTGCACCACAGATGAAATTAAGAAATATGTTTTTCTTTTATTTATAAATTTTAAAATGTATTTGGTTGTTACAGAGTGTCCTACCTGGGCTCATAGTGATCCTTCTGTTTTCAGGCTCCCTAGTGCTAGGATTATAGGAATATGCCACTATGCACGAACTCTGTGGGGGCTAGGATGGTGTGGCATGTGGTGCTGGAAACTGAACCACAAGCTCTGTGCTTACCTAAACTTGCCTAAACAGGCGCTTTAGTCCTCTGCTGAGGTATCGCACTGACCCCTAAAAAAATATTTAAAATCAAACAAAAATGCAGATACAACTTACTGAAACATGTGGAATAAAATGGAAGATGTCTTAAAAGAAATATTTATGGTGCTAAATTTACATATTAGGAAAACAGAACAAGGCAAAGAACCGATCCTACTTTGTGCCTCAAGCTCCTAGAAAAAGAAGAGCAAGTAATGTTCAAAGCCTAAAGAAGGCAGAAAGGGACAGCATACAGGACGAGGGATGGCAGACCTCACGTGGCCCATGTTCAACGAGCCAGGCAAATGAAGACAGGGTTGCCTTATCAGTGAAGGAGGCAGCAGCAGAACCAGGGAGAAGGCAGCCACCATAGAGTAGCCAACCCGGGAGACCTTGTGTTTGGCACAGAGGCCAGTGAACATCCAAGATATCCTCGGGAAAGTCAAGCCCCAAAGAAAGAGGTAGACAGAGATGGCAAAGCACAGTCAGGAGAGGACCAAAGGGGACAGCCGAGAAGGTCCCATGCAACGTGGAGGATTATGTGGAAGAGAAAGGCCTCACAGAAATCAAGGTACACCACGTTCTAGCCTAAAGAGTCTCCAGGCAGAGAGCTAGGAAGGGCCTTCTGGGACTAAGACATGCCTCTTAAAGGAGGCCTGGGGCAATAGCTCGGCCTCAGAGGCTGTACTGGAAATCATAAAGTGAAGTCCCTGCTGTCCCCGGAGTCTGCTGGCAGCAATGCTTTTGTCCGCTGGTGTGTCGAAGGCTCCCAAATCAAGGAGTGGGCTAGAAGTGAAGAAAAGCATTCACGTGAGTGTCCCTGGGGTCCTGGGTGAGAGAGCTGGAGTCACATGGTGAATGATTTTGCTTAAGTTACAGCTCCCATAGATGTCAAAGTGAAAATGATTTTTGCTGACTTGGTGGCACACATTTCATGAGAACATTAGGCAGAGGATCACACTTCAGGCCACCCTGAGCAATTTACTGACATAGCCACAATCTATCTCCAAATTGAAAATTAAAAGTGCACTCAGGACATAGATTACTGTGAAGGCTGCATGTTCATTCTCTAATAGATTAAAAACATATAACTGTCAGTGTTAGAGATGGCAAGGAAGACTGTAGTCAAGGGGAATATGTTTGGCACAGTCAGAGGCGAAGAGCACAGCTACGGTGCTGCTGTGAGGACTGAGCAGAGCTTTGGCCCGGCCTCCCCTTTGGCCCAGACACCATGGTCTTCTGGGGTCTGTGCAGCCACATGGGAGGGGATGATGTTTGTAGAAAGTGGAGCAATGGGTGCATACAGTGAGCTGGAGACTGAGCTCCCTTGTACACAGTATAGATGAGTGGGTATTCACAGCTGAGGACCAGGGTGAACCTTACTACATGGAAAATTACTAAGAGAGATATCTATATTCATGGAGGACTTGGGTAAACCAGCCCAATAGGATCCTGGCCTAGCTGGAGCAGGATGAGCAGAGCTCCCCTGGGGATGGAAAATGAAGTGCCACCCATCAGGCATTGACAGTGATTAGGGATGCCCATGGATGAACACACTGAGAGTGAGCTGTAGAAAAATGGGACCCTGCGGTCACAGAGTCAGAAACCCACATATCCCAGCCCTGTTGCAATGGAGCTCAGAGGACTTTCCAAATTTGGTCACGGGAGCATCTGTACCCTCACTGGGAATCTGAGAGGTATAAAGTGGGGCTGCTCCCTTGCAAGAGCTCTGCCTGGAAGGAATGATCCCACTCTTGCTGACGGCTGCAATGGATACTGCTTTGCCTGACGGTCCTATAGGGCACTAGACAAATTTGCAGAACAGAATTTTGAAGAAATAAAGGGCCATTATGTTCCGTTATTATGGGTGTTCACAAGTGTAGCCCTGGGTCCAAGGTTTCAGGACGTGTTTTAGACAGGATCTCATGCTTGCAACTGGAGTGTTTGGGAGGCTGAGGCAGGAGGATAGCAAGTTTGAGGCCACTATGTTTCATCTCAAAAAACATCCTGAGACCTTATCTCAAAGTTAAAACTCAAAATAAAAGAGGGCTTTCAGCCACCCTGGCAGATTGGGAGCCTGCAGCCTTCTAAGGGTCACAGAGGGACAATTCCAATCCCTGCTTTATCCAGGCAGTTGACACAGTGGAATCAAAGGGCCTCCTGTGCAGGGAAGCACACTCTGGGATTAGCTGATGCATCACGTGGTTTGTGTTCTACTTGTGAAGATCACAGAACTCAGGGGGTTCACACTAAGCACATTACACTGGCTCAGCAGGCTGAGCCCCCTTTTGTTGCTGTGTCACTGCATGGGGGTCACAGGTCAAGCACAAGCAGTACTGGCTCTGATTGGCAGACAGCTAAACACACCAGGTATCAGGGACCAGGGATGAGACCTGGTGCATCCCCAGCTGCAGCGCCCAGCTGCCAATAACATCCTTGCTCACACTGCCCCCTATGTTACACCAGTTGGTATCACAGTTGCCAAAGACTTGGTTAACAGGGGCCAAGCTGTTCTACCAGCGAATCACACAGGGGGCGGCGGTGTGTTTTACAACCTTTAGTGTCCTTTTACTCTCCTGCTGAAAGAACCACCGAGAGTCGACCCTGCAGGAGCTATCAGAATCTGCACTTAGTGTGAGGATGTGGGCTTCCTCTCTCTGCACGGTGCTCTTGAAGAGTCCACAGTCTCTCCCCACGAGAGTGTGCCTGGGGCAATGACCTTGTGTTCCCAGGCTGTGCAGCTTTCGGGGCTAACCACACAAGCAGAGAGAAAGGAGGCAATGCAGGATGGAATTCTGTGTGAACGACAACAACACAGACAAGAGAGGTGATCTCAACGCACTCAGTGTAATTTTCAGACACAATTTGTGCCATTTCTGGCCATCTCAGGCTGGAGAGTGGAGATCAAAACCCGGTGCTTCTCCACCTTTCTCGTGGGTGTATGTGCTTATGGCAGGCTGTTGTCAGCGCAGTCATAGATCTTGTTGGCTCAGGGTCAGAACGTCTGAGGATGACAGTGTTCCCAGTGCTCTAGCAGCAGGGCACGTCCCATCCTCACGAATCAGGCTCATGGGACACCTCAAGTTGGAGGTAGGTAGGTCAAGGCACTAACACATTATAAGATGTAAAACCTCATAGGAAGTGTGGGTGGGCAGGATTCCCTGCAAGACTGCTCATGGATGACGCAGGCTCAGTGTGAGTTCTCTGCCTTTCCCATCCACTTCCAAAACAGCTCGCACAGCAACAATGCAGCCCCTCCCTCAGTCATCGCTGCGATCCACTGAGTACAGTCAGGAAGTAAAGGGCACGATGTGCTGTCACGTTGCGCATGCGCAGTATCAGAACTTTTTTCTTCGCAGCCCTGGGCTCCTTTTCCGCCTAAGCCCCATCAAGGTTGCTATACTGTAATCCCTCCCACGGTAGCCTGGGTGTAAGCAGAGAGCCAATAGGAGAGAGGTTAGGAGAGCTCCTGTGGACCTAAGCCTGCCAAACAGGGTGCAGCATTGCTGGAACCAATGGCAACCCCGGGTTCCACCCATTTGCCATCACGCAGTTCCCAAGAGTCATTGCGCTTGTATTCTGTTTTGCAGAGTTGGCGGCCTCGTGATCTTGCTGCCGGGAGGCCATGGAAGAAGAGCGCTACCACCATGGTCTGCTGTCCTTGGACCAGGATGTCTGGCAACCAGAAGCCAGCGCAGGTCAGGCACAGGGTGGCCCGGCAACAGCCCAGGTTTCCCTCTTTAGTGAGAGAACTCCTGGCCTTGGGGCAGACAGTCAATCCAAAGACGTCCCGGAGAATCAGAGCATAACCGTACACCTAGGGACAAACGTGAGCCAGGAAAACGCCAATGCCCTCCGTGAGGAGGATCAAGTTGAGCAGGAGCCTGAGCAGCTCACCCCTGCAGTGCAGGATCCTGAAGATGCCAGGAGCCAAAGACAAGGCCAACCCAGGCTCCAAGGAACGCAGTTCAGCTTCCCGCAGTCGCAGGTGCAGGAAATGGAAGGTGTTCTCGAAGAAACTCAGTACCTGGACCTACTTATGAGGTGAGCTGCTGCCCCAGGGTGCACACAGGCATTATCGGATGTGGCCGTGTTTGCATGTGTCTTTGTCTCTCTCCTGCAGCCCGATTTCCCATCTTGACCAGAGGGCCCTGGGGTCTTCTCCTGCCTGCCTTTGCAATGAGCGGGATGGATCTGATTGTGGTGCATGCTCAGAACATTCCTGTAGTACTGTGGAATCCAGTGCGGAAATAGGTTGGTGTCTGCTACTTTGTTCTGTTTGTGTTCTGTGGTGTGAGATGTACACAGTAAACGCTGCTGCCAGAATTTGAAGGCAGGTATGAGCGGTATTACATATTTTCACATAAGTTCAGAGCTGTGAGCAGTGCTACCTATGCTCACTGAGCTGTCCATCAGATCTCCAGAGCGTGTCATCTTACAAAATCAAGCCACACATGAAAGACCGCCCATGTCCCTGAAGGCCTCAGTTCTCACCACACAGGATTCTCTGTTTATACTCTGAGATGGAAGTGTATGGGAAGCAGATCTAGGTGGCATCTTAGCCAGGCAGTGATATTCTGTCTGGCTTAGTGGCTTCAGGTATCCTCACAGAGTAGCCATGCTGCAGCAAATGTCAAATCTTCCTTACTTTTTTGACCAGCAAGACATCTTAGTGGACTAAGACCCTGCTTAGGCAAGCATAGAAACCAGGCGGCCCAGCACATAATACTCTTTTGGAGAGGGTGAGAACCAGAGGATTGCTGTGATTCCGAGCTGCATAGTGAGACAGTGAACCAAATACATAAAAAAAAAATTAAATGAAGTTCATTACTTTTTAAGTCCCAGCTATTTTCTCTTATACTGGAACCTTGTTTGTCTTTCAACTGTGGAGAGGTTGCTTTCAGGTATAGTGTTGTTTTGAACGTGCTTGACACATAGCTGGGAACATGCAGGGTTTCAGTGTCCCAGAGACCTCCTCAGATAGGGCATCATTGGAGCACAGAATGCCACGTTTGTGCTTTGAGACCCAGCAGATGCTTTAGAAGAGACAGGAGGAGACTTGCATTGCTCCTCAGGGTGCCCAAGGTTTGCTGATTCTCCCTGTGCTCAGCATGCTTGTTGGTTCAGACATGGGTGTGATTCATGTCCCTGTGGTCAGAATGTGCACAATTGTCTGCTAATTTACAGTGTGTTTTCTCCAGCTTCCTGGTCATCTCTGTGCCTTCTTATACAAATGTGTCTCTTGAGTCCTTTCATCTGCCTGAGGCTGGCTGCTGAGCTTCGCTTTCTTACATGAGAGGGGCGTTTCTACCTCTCTGTCACTGGTACTTTGCAAGTCTTTTCTCCCATTCTGGTGGTTTCTTCTGACTGCTCTGACTGGGTCTGCTCACTGACAGATGTTTACATTTGATACTGGGCTTGGTTCTGTAGTTCTTGAATTTATGGCTTTTGTTTCAAATAAAGTTCCTTGGGTTCCTAGTGCATACAGTGAGATATAATTGTACTATAGGCTTGCTGATCAAAAGAAAAGAGTGGGTAGCGTGAGGGAAAGGGGAAAGGAAAGGATCTGAGGAGTCTCTTAGGTAGCTATGCTTCAACTTCCGATCAGGTCATTAGAGAGAACTTGTGTTAATGCCACTTGGAGATCCGTTTTGCCCATCTTGTGTCCTCTCAGGGAAAAAGACCAAAGGTAAGAATAGGGCATATAGTAACTATTGTTACTCTCCTATGAACTTGATTGGAGATTTTCTTTTATGTATTTAATATTTTGGAGGGGGGAACGAGGATCAAACTCAGGACCCTGCCCGTGCTGGAAGCCTCTTATTCCTTTTCCATAAAATAAAACAATACTATTTGCATCATAGAATGGTACATTCATTGTGTATTTTCAGAATAACACATCCAAATACCTCCTCCATGTGAGCTTAAGTGCTGGGAGGAGGTCACACCATGGCTGATGGGAGCCATATTCCTAGGGAAACAGAAAAGGATCCGTGGGCCCTGGGAGGCTGAGTGCAGGTCCCAGCCCTGCACAGAATGTGCATGTACTACTCCAGTCCTGGAGCTCTGCGTCCTCCATCCAGGTCACTCACCGTGGAGCATCTGCGGTTTTCTCTCCACAGATGGAAGCTTGCAAGAGACCTGAATGTGCCTGAGTCCAGAGTGCAGGTCAGTGAGTCCCACACAAGCCAGAGGACGGCGCAGTCGCTCTCCATCCAGCCTCAGGGCAGCGCTGGGTCCTGGCGCTGTGGAGCTGGTTTTATTTCTTCTCCTTTCTTACTGTGACAAGAAGGATTGGCCTTAGGAAGAGAGCGAAAATGGAATGGGTCATCATGGGCTTGTGGTGCCTTTTCATTTTGAGAGGGAACATGCTTTCATAAGGGACAACAGAACCTCAAGCTCCATCTTATTATGTGTAAACAATGAAATATGTTTCTAGGCTCATAAAATGAAGAACAGTAATTATGCACAGCCTTAATGCATAGATGTGTGTACAGAGATTCCTTATTTAACAGCTCACCTGTTGAATGAGGTGTCATGTTTGGATTTATGAAGGGTCTTCTGTTTTTTAAATGTATTTTGTTGTTGCAAGGTCTCACTATGCAGCTCAGACTCATAGTGATCCTTCTGTTTTCAGCCTTGCCAGTGCTGGGATTACAGTCATATACGACTATGTCTGGACTCTGTGGCCGGCTCAACCCACCATAGGGGCAGAGCTAGCGTGGCATGTGGTGCTGAGGATAGAACTGCAGTCCCTGGGCTTCCCCAAGCATCTACTTTAGTCCACTTAGCTATCTCACCTACCCGAAGTTTTTTCTTTTTGTACAGTTTTCCACATTATGTTCCCAGAGTTTCACATTTATTCTTCAGTACAGTACTCCTTGCACTGCAGACTGTCATGTTTGCTGGTTGCACTATTAATTTCTGTAATGATGTGTTCCACTATACATTAGTGCATGAACATTTATGTGCATACAAGTAAAGACATCCCATTGGTTCTGAAAATTTTACTACACATAGGCTAGCAAATTTTCAACTTAGCGACAAGTTCATTGAAGAACCTAGTCTCAGGAAAAGATCTCAGGTGTTAAATGAGAAATGTTTACATGGCTTCATTAACTTAGTATTGATCACATGCGGGCTGGACAAATAGTTCAGTGGACTAAAGTGCCTGCAAGCAGGCGCAGAGCCGGCAGTACGATCCCTGTGCCTGCTGTGCTGGCCCTGCCCCTGGGGTTCACTAAGACAGCAAATGAGAAGGTGTAGTGGCTCACATCTGTAATCCCAGCACTTGGAAGTCTGTAAACAGGCGGATCACTATGAATCCGATCTAGTAGTGAGACCCTGAACACCCCGTAGACCCATCCCTAAAAATACTAAGTGTCGATCCCCCCATTGGAGGTCTGAGTGCTTCAGGGTGCACTACTGTGTGCAGTCCTTTTTGGGCTCAGTTTGACCTTGACGGTCTACAAATGCATGCTGGGGAAAAGCAAGATTAAAAGACTGTTCTCCTATAGGAATTTTCTTGAAACATAGCCAAGGATTTTCCTTAATGATGCACAAGCTTTCTTTGACTGTGTCATGTTCTCTTCTGGTTTTGTTTTTAATGCTGTGCCTAGAACCCAGGACCATGCAGATCGGAGCCCAGGGCTGTACCACTGAGTTCTTCCCCAACCTAAATTCGGAGATATTGGGAAGAGAGACTGAATGCTCAGATAAAGATTGACCTAGCAAGGCATGGAAACCTAAGTCAGGCAAGGGTTACAAAGAATTTAGTGAGCAAGGTTCATTGCCTGGTTTTCCTTTCTTTGTATATTATGGTAAGGTCAGGGAGAGCCTAGAAGCTCACAAGTTAAATTTCTCTGCACACAGTGCAATCTCCATGTGAAAAGTTTGGTGAAATAGACAGAATCTGAATCAATAGAACACTGGGTTGTAGACTTTGGAACATGGCCTAAAGTGTGAAATGAATGTCCGTAGTGTGGTATGAATGTCCGCTAAGGGGAGCAGGGTGCAAATGATAGAGAAAAACTGCAAACATTCAACTGATGGCTTAAAATTTCAGCACTGAATTCCAGTGTGCGTGTCCTTTGAGAGTGCTCTGGCATGGACAGGCCTGCTTTTTCTTTACAGGGTACTACATGCAGGTGGTAGAACTGGAGGAGCAATTTGGTGATGTTAGCCTTTATTTGGGGAACACCTCTGTCCCTCATAATTTGAAGCACATCCAACTAAGGATGTGAAAGAGGAGGTGTCATTTTCTTTCTAAGAATTAGTTTCACTTGCTGGAGTAAAGGACAGAACACCTGAGCAGGGTAATTAAGGTCAATATTTCTGCACGGATGTCCATCGCCAGCCCTCTAGGATACTTGAGCCTGAGGAAACAGCTTCCCACATGGAATCTCAGTGTAAGCAGCATAGGACCTTGTGGGTGGATTTTCCTTTATGATAACACTTCTGTCTCCTAACTCTGTCTGATTTCCACTCTGACTTTAGGTTTTGAATAACAATCAGAGAGCCAAGTACAAAAAAAAATTAGAGAAAAACAATACCCCAGATAGCAACACCTGATTTCCTGGACCACATTTTCATGGATGCAGAGGCAGAGCTGTCCTAGGACACGGTCCTTGTGAAGATGCAGATCGTGGTTGGACTTTTGTGTTGCCGTGAATTCCAGGACCGAGTATGTTTCTCCCTTACCTCTGTAGTGCTTGCATTTGCCATAAAGTGGGAATTTCTGAACTTACGTGTTTCTTTTTCTCTGTGGGATAATTTACACTTGGATAACATATCATTTCAGCAGAAGGATGATGAGGTCTCCTGTTGGGAAGGGACTGCACTGAGTCACCGTGGAGAGGACTTTAACACTGATGTTCTCAGTGCCAGGAGGAGCTTTGAATTACCCCTATTTGATATTAATACTAATTCTCTGGGGCTGGTGAGATATAGCTCAGTCATCTAAATCACCTCCTCAGGCAAACTTAGGCACGTGCTCAGGGACCACATTTCATTCCCTGGCACCACATATTGCACCATCCCAGCCTCCAGGGTCGGCTGAGCTGGCAAAAAAAATTAATACTACTACTAATAATAATAATAATAATAATATAATAATAACAATAATGTTGAATTGTATCTCCTTTAACGTCAACTGTGGATTCCTCAACTCCACAGTCTCTAGGGAAACTGAGCATATGGGCCACAGAGAATGTATAGTGCTATTTGCAAATGCCATCTGTTGATGGGCATCTTCTCAGGAAAGGCTACTATCACAGTGGGAACCTGTTCCCGGGAGGAGAACTATGTTCCATGAAGCACATGCTTTTCTCTCTGCTGACTTGCAGTGCTGTCTTCCTCTTGGCACTGTCATGCGAGGGTGTCAAAGTTCAGCAGAGTGACTGAGTGTGATGTGGCTTTTTGCTGTTTGTTCTCAAAGGCCTGTTGGTCCTACGTCTTCAGTGATCTGTGAGTGACTCTCTGCCTTTCCGTTGCTTAGGTGCCCAAGCTGTGAATAGGTTACTCAGTGAGATTCCCCAGTGAGCCATGCATTGAGACAATGGCACTGGCAGTGCCCTTCTGGGCTAGGAGCCTTCCCTGAGGTGTTAGATCCTCTCCCAGGATGGAAGGTTCTCTGCACGTGCGACATATGCAGTGTCAATGGCTGGGAAATTTGCAGCTCTCCTTCTCAAGGGTCTTGGCCCTGGAATTCTCCTAGTGGAGTTCTTTACTTTGTGTTTCTAAATAGCTGTTCTTCATCTAACTACCTAAATATTTAAGCAATGTTCAGCCTTCTGACCCTCTTTGTGTACACTATTGTACATCTTGTTCATAGAGCTGGATGTCCTTATTGTACACCTCACCTCCTCTATGCAGTAGTGTAGTGTGAGCTGTGTGTACCATGCAGGGTGCTACTGTAGTATAATGCTCTGTTACACATGGCAGCTTTGCATGTAACTTACACAAATTGATACAAAGTCGTCCTGTTGGAGATTCCTTGTACCATTTTTCACTTGTGACAATTGTTATGTGGTTACTATGCACACGTCATCGTATAGAAACCAATTCTATCTGGCACCTCGTCAGAGGAACAGAACTCAGTTATTAAAGGAGGAGGGCCTGCCTTTGCATGTGGGTACCCGTGAGCCCACTCCTCAGCTCTGGAGAGCAGGAGCTCCCTGGTTCCCATCTTCTGAGTGTCACATGAGTATTGCTGCCCTAGTCTGCCCAGATGGAACTCATTCTTCACTATACTAATGTAATGTTTAATGATTTTATTAGAGATTGAACCCTGAACTATATGCAGTACAAACCAGAACTCCATCTTTGAACTACTAACAGAGCCCGGGGTTCTAAATTTTGAAAGATAATTTTAGATAAACACATTTTGGGGCAAACCACATAGCACAGCAGAAAAAAGCATCTGCTTAGTCAGAGAGAGGGCCAGATTTGATCCCCAGCGTGCCATGCTGGTTTGTTGTAGGGGGTGTTAAGAGGACGATGGAGACTGGGCGGGTGGCGTGCTCCTGTAATCCCAGTTCTTGGGAGGCTTAAAACAGAGGATCAGTATGAGTCCGATCTCTGTAGTGAGACCCTGTAAACTCTGAAGACCGTGTACCGAACACTAAATAAATAAATTAATAAATAAACAAATTTTTCATGTCCCATCACCAAACACTTGGCTCAATATTACAAATCTTTGAGTCAACACTGCTTGAATCAGATACCACTAACAGAATCTCCTTACTCCTCATCCTCAGAATGATGCGTAAAATTCTTTTGACTTTAGGATTCCTTTGACATTCTTCTCATACTCCTTGCATGAATCCTAAACAGTAGATATTCCCCAGGAAAGTAAATCCTGCCTTCAGGTAGTAATTTTTTCTTATCATTTTTCTTTGTGGAACTCATGAAAGGTCATTTTGATGTGGACTGCCAGTTAAATGTTCATGAGTCTTGCATTATATCCTCAGCAAGGGTGGTAGTGAGCATTGTCATTTCATGCTACTTTTCTAGGTAGAAAAGCTATTTCTTTCAGAATATACTTGGCTGAAATGAGTAGACTGATATTGTAATTCTATACCTCAGCAGGCATTCAGAATCACTGTATATGCTTTCTTCAATTTTTCTTTTCATATATGCTCTAATGTACTGCAATTTGGACTGGCACT